TGAGTGACCCTTGTAAGGGTTATGAGTATGAATTGATAACTTAGAAAAGTTGTCGTGTAGGGTTGAGGAGTCGGGGAGAGTCGATTTTCACACTGAGGACAGTGCAAACACTATACAACGTTGAGGTGAGTTACCTTCGAGTAGAAGTGGGTCTAAGGCATCAATGTCGACCCACTAGTAGTTGACTATAGTTGAGATGATTGTCTTTGTGATAATTGTTTGGTTTGCTACTACATGATGTGTTCTATATGCTAGTATGATATGTTACATGTGATAGTGGTACTATGAGGGGAATAGTCCCCCGATTCGATCGTTAGGACTGAAGGGTAGGTCGGACACCCCAGATATGTCTGGCAACATGTTTATGATATGTTATTATTTATGAGTTTTATACAAACAATCCTATGTGTGCATGCAACCCTAGAGTTGGATCTATGTTATCACTATTGGTTATATAACATTATGAACACTTGAAGAACCCTAAAAGGCTTCTAGGAATTTTGAAATCAACAAGGAAATATGAAATGCATACCTCTTGTTGTTATATTGTAATAACAACTAAATCTTGAATCTTCTAGTCTTCGAAAGCAAGTACCACAAGTGTAGTATACCTCTAATGGCTCACAAACACCAAGAGAAAATGGAGAGACAAGAGAGAGAGAGAGAGAGAGAGAGAAAGAGAGAGAAAGAGAGGAGAGGTATGAAATTCGGCCCTAGGAACCCTTGGGAAGGCATGGACAAATTTCATGTGCCAAGGGGTGTTTATATAGGTGTAGGGATTAGGGTTTCAATCCTTATCCTTATCTGATTGCTTGCCCACCAAGCAGCCCAAAAGATAACCCTAGAAACCTTATCATGGATGAATTATAAGGCCTTATCACCTTGAATTCGTCCACCCTATCCCATAAGGCATCCATCGGCCTACTTTGCAACTATCACATAATTACAGTTTAACCCCTCTAGTTTAATTAATTACTTTTGATCACATAATTAGTTCTTAATTAATTACTGACCAATATTAATTAAACAAATATGATTTCTCTTTTAATATATTATTCTCATAATATATTAATAAACCATAATTACCTCTTTCTCTATTATTTCTCCAGTCAAGTTGCATTGGTGAAGGCAACCCAAAAGGACCATGCACAATCGGGTCAAGTACCTACTAAATATGGTTACGGGCTTAGAAACTAATCCAATAATTATATGGTAGTAGTAGTAGGGGTGAAATAGTTCCAGTGACCGGGTGAGATAGACCGGAGGGTAGGCAGGCACCCCAGAACGGCCTGACCCGGGTAGGTTAGCATCACTAAATGGCTTGACATGGGTAGGCCAACACCCCAGAATGGCTTTACACGGGTAGGTCGGGTACCCCAGAATTGCCCTGCAATATGTATGATTGTATGGTATGTGGTATGATGGGGGAACTCACTAAGCTTCGTGTTTACCGTTTTTAGTTTTGGTTTCAAGTACCTCTTCAACTTGGGGGAAGGAGCCGGCAGGGTAGCAGCGCATCACACACATAGGGATGTCAACGGGACCAAACGGGAGTGGAAATAGTTTCCCCCGCTCCCGCCCTGAAATCAGTTGGTGCCCCCGCTCCCGGCTCCCCCGTTTACATATCCCCTGGTTACCTCCATCGCTCCCGGTCCCGCACCCGTTCCCCCAGTTTATAGGCTTAAATTTTGATTTTTTTTGCTAAACAACTACTTTGGTTTAGACTAAAAAGACTATTTTTAACAACTTTAAAAGCTTAAAAGCTAATCTTTTAGAAACTAAAAAATTAAAAATCCAACATTACAAAATGACAATTCTAACAATCTTATAAATATAAAATATGACAAATCCAATATTACAGATATAAAATACTTACATGTCTAAAATTATATGATCAATTCACTACCTCCTCAATATCCATTAATTGGAAACGGGAAAGTAAAACCTAACCTAAACCTAAAATTAAAAAATCTATTTTGTATATGTATTTTATATTAAATATATATTTTTTTACATAAATGTACAACCGGGGCCCCATCGGGAGTACGGGACGGAAATACCAACTCCCGACCCCAATCCCGAAAATAAGCAGGGTTTAATTTTGCCCCCGCTCCCGCCCCCGTTTTTTTTTTTTTTTTTTTTTTTTTAATTTAGTCCCGTACGAGAACGGGGTCCCACGGGGGGTTTTGACATCCCTACACACATGATTTCCGATTTGGGAACCTTTGGATTGTACTCTGACATTTACTATTTGATATTATGGTTTTCGAGACCTATGATTTGTGACTTGATGTTTTGAAATGATAGCAACGATGTTTTCTATAAACTATTTTTATTAGTAATATAATTAAACCAAAAATTTTGGGTCTCGATTTTGGGATGTTACACAACATCCATAGATATTAAAGTCATAATATTACTATGCATAACTTGTTGTACTCTATTGAAGAACTCCACTACATCTGGCGTAAGGAAACAAAAAGTATCAAATTAAGGTATAAACGTGTGTTGATTTTTAATGCACGCTTTGTCATGTTTTGTTACTTTGCATGAGACATATTTTAAAGCAATATGCCCCACAGTAAAAACGTCACTCCCCAAGCTCACAAGAAGGAAAACTCATGTTAGATACATACATGTGTGCTTCCGTCATGCTCATTCAAAAACTAAAACGTTAGTTGGTCTAAGTGTTGATCTTCTTTCCATCAGACCAGTCAAAAAGTTTACAAATGTTTGTTTCTTTGCAGAAACTCCGATGTGTCTAAATATACGGAACAAAACATCTTTAACCAGATCATGTCGGTAGTTGAAACTCGTGAACTATCTACAATGAATTGCATGCTCCCCAAAGAAACCTAATGTCTTTTTCAGAAAATAAATAAATAAAATAAAAAATAAGGTTTAATCCGCAAAAAACACACAAAATATAAGTTTTTTTTTTATGATATTAATCTTATCTTTTATACAAAATATGACTCTTTTATATCCCATCAACTCTCCATATATATTTTTCATATGTATCTAATTTTTATTATAATTCGTAGGTTATTTATATGTTAATAACCACTATATCTACTTTTAATTATCGCTCGTGGCTTATTAACAAATGTACCCAACTTTTATACCAACTATTTGGCAAGTCATGTGAATGACCAATATCATACACATAATAATGAGTAGTTAATGATGAATGACAATGGTTTTCATTAATTATTCAGTTCTAAATGCTTCATCCAACCGAATACATTCACATTTCAACGATCAACCAACTTGCAAAAAATGGGACACATTCTTCTGTTCATATGTGAACGAACAAAGAACACGATTGACCTGTCATTATTCAAATATGAAAAACAAAAATGTTAATGTAAAAACTGAATACATACTCTATTTTAATGTGAAAAACACAATATATATAATGTTCATTTGAGACATACGTAATTTTGTGACATCGTGAGACCAACTTTTCTAATGAAATATTATAATATTATAGTCATCATAAAAATATAATATATATATATATATATATATATATATATATATATATATATATATATATATATAATATTCTAAAATTATATGCTTTTAGAATATTTCAATATAAAATGTGTTAAAAATATTGTTTTAGAATATCAGAATATTACATATATTATATTTTTTAGAATAACAGAATATTAGAATATTTCACTAGAAAAAAAATAGTTTTACGGTTTCACAAAATTAGATCCGTCTCATTCAATTTGTCAAATCAAGGGTTAAATTCCACATAATATTTTAATATAATAATTGCAATAAATGTATTAATAAATGTATATCAGTTTCATTAATTAACTTACTTTTTAATTTCAAAATTCCAAAAATTAAAGCTCATTAGTTTTGTTTGTTTATTTATTTAAATTATTTGTTTAATTTTAAAATATAAAAAAACATTTGCATTATAATAATTCATTATTTTTCTTATTTTCTTATAACTTTAAAGTTATCAAATATTTTGGAAATTTATATTTAACTTTTTTTTTTTAAATTAACCTATGTAATACAGCGTCTCACAACTAGTATATATAATATCGATACAAATTTATTGTTTGTTTAATATATTCGTTTTTCTTTTTCTTAAAACTAAACTGTAAAAATAATATATTAACATAGATTAAGGTACACTTACATGCCTTCTTTGTATGTAAAAACCTCTCACATTTGTAACCATTTGACCAAAAGTTTCTCACATTCTCAAACCTTTTGATTATCTTTCTAACATTCCAGATAAAAACAAAACAAACAAAACATAATCTTTAATTCTTTATATACATGGGAGAAGCTTGTGATGAATGAGAGGGTGGGTCCTTTCATTAGCCCATATTCATATTATGTCACTTGGACTCACTTCAATGGGCTGATGCTGACCTGAAAAAAACATCCATTCCCTAATAAAAGATTTAGAAATTATCATATAAGAGTAATAGGACTATAGGAGCCCATATATTACACGTAACAAACTTATAACTTTGTATCAATTTATTTATTGGCACCTTCTCTATGAGCTCTCATTTAATTGCTTATGTGGATATCTAATGCATTATAAGCTTTTTTTTTCTTTTCTTTTTGGAACCGGCATATTGTACACCACTTTAATTTGAAACAAATAAAAAAAGTCAAATCAAGGGTTAAATAAATATTAAAAAATTAAACATGTGATGTGGTCACCTAAAATAAGCTACATATTGACTTTTTTATACTTCTACGTAAAGAACAATTTAATAAGAAAATTTAAGAAAAGGAGAATCTGTTTTAACTTTTTACAAATATATCATTATTTTCTTTTTCATCTCTCCGACCATATAGCCTATTTCTCAAATATCAGTTCAAGTGGTACATGCATATTTACATCAAATAGTTTTGTTTAAATATTGAATAAGACATTACAATTATTTATTACATACCAAATTCATATATTTGACGTTCCTAGAGCATCATGAGGAGGGATTCAAAATTCAAAAACATCTCAATCTAAATCATTTTCATTTTCATATATTTTTATTCATATTATGTAACTAATGACATTACAGTATAAATATGCCAGGTAGATATGTATCAAACAGGTTAATAGATTATAATCTTAAAAATGGAAAGAATTATATGCAAAGTTAATGAGAATTGTGGGAAAACAAAGGAAGTGAGAAAGACAGCATCTCAAACCTCCCATTTTCCCATTTTTTTGTCATATCAACTCTAACTTTAAATTTCAAAGGACTATTCTTGCCAGGTTGCAATAATGATTTCAGTAGTATTAACCAGAGTGAGTAAAAGTCCAGACATTGGTCTTCCATGGACTTATTTGCCCTTTGACCACATCCTTGCTTTTGCTTTTGGTAGGTGGAGTGAACACTCTCTGCTTTGATGTTTCCAACCAAGATTTCAGCAGCCTTGTTTTTAACCACAACAGGAACATATGCTGACTCATCCCACACATATAACTGCATTTCAACATCACTAGAATATGATGAATGATCATCAATCAACAACTAAAATCTTGATTATGCATAGACATACCAAAAAAGGTCTGTAAATCAAGCTTACAACATGGAGACGATTAGAGCTTTTCTGACAATAGAGTGGAACAGTTTCTTGTTCAATTCTTGATCTGCCTTTACAAAATATGGAATGAATTTTAGTATTATCAACAATCATTTTACAAAAAAATTAAACAAGAAAAGTTTATGCATACCCAAATTCAGAATTTAAAGGAGCACCACATAACTGACATCCAGTACAAATGAGATCTTCAGTTAGGTTTTTGTAAGCTGATGAGAATATTCTACTTCTGATAAACATCCTTTCCTCCTCAAACTCACCCATAATTGGCAGAAATATTTCACCAATGGAAGCAAAAAAGGATGCATTGCATGAATCGTTTAGTCTGGATACATCTGATAGAGATAAACAATCTTTATGTTGTGTCTCTTCATGGAGTTTCCAGTTTTTTAGATTCTGATTCCTCTGTGTGGAAAGCTAACATGGTTAGAAAGATCCACCCTTTTCAAAATAAAGAAAGTTATTGCTTTTTTTTTTTTTTTTTTTTATCAATTTAGCCACTGGCAATACCTTGTAGTTGTGCAACAGATGCTTATTGGGAATAGGTTCCACTCTCACCACCCATGCAACAACTTTCTTAAGCTTTTCCTTTGTTGCAATTCCAATATGATTAACCTTCATCAAGTTGTTTTCACCTATATTATCAAGTAACACGATATGTTTTTAAGTAAAGATACAAAAATAACCTTGAGGTACAAGAAATAGAAAAAAAGAAGGGGTTCAAAACCTTTAGAATGAATTGCCTCATAACTATCCACCAAGCATTGTATGGATGACTGCTGAACTGTTCTGGCCTCAACAACATCTCCATATTGGGTCACTTTGACATCTATAAAGTAAAAGATGTTAATGAGGGTCATGTAAGCAATTCCACTTTCATCATCACTACATTTGTTTTGCTAAAATGTAATAACAAAAAAGGTTAATGTTAAGAACACAAAGGCCATATGCCTATATGCTGAAGCTAAATGAGAGTCCACATGAGTTGTTTTTCACCTTTGAAAGGTAATAAAAACTGATTCTTGTGAACTCACTTTAGCAGCAAATCCAAACATCACTAAGGCACTAACAATAACATATGTTAAAAGCAAAAAATCCATTCCACAAAATGGTTAAATTTTTAAAATTGACAAATACATATGACGCGGAGTAATCACAATGACAAACAGTAGAAAATACTCATCTTCGATCAAAAACTTAGTTAGGTTTCATGGATGAAAGAAAAAAAAAATGGATGGATGGTGTCAAGTGAAACTCACTCTGTAGCAGAATAATATTTCCGGGCTTTAACATGGATTCCATGTGCTTTTGCCATATGGAAACAGGGAAATAGCGACGTGTATCGTCCCCGACTTGAATGTCTGTCCTGATTACTTTTCCGACTCCTGAAGTTTTATACTGCACAATTACCAGATTGGATTAATCACAGATTGAGGTTAGGCAACATATGGAGAAAAGTTTAGGGTTATTGAGAACCTGTACAGGAAGGGTGTTATGAACAAGCACAAGAAGTTGAACGAAATGACCACTGTGAGAAGAGGCTTGGGAGAGATCGATCAGAGGTCCGTACCATCCGATTGTTGCCATATCCAGTAGTTTCAAATTGATCAACTTCGCTTAGACGCTTACAGCTTACTGTAGGGGTGGAGTGGCCCAGGTGGGGTTGAAATTGAATACAAAGATGCTAGTGTTGCCGCCTTTTTCGTAGAGCTCATCACAGCCTAAGGGTTTCATCGGGTTAACGACTCGGCAAACCGGAATCGGACCTCATCCGGAGAATCTATTTTAATTTCTTACCCATGTCTAAGATTTTTTTCAGTAATATCATAATACCAGTATACAGCATATAATAAAAATCGTAACGATGTTGTGACAAATTTGTGTATCTATCATAGACAAGATATAATTAAATTTAATCATGTATAACAATTGGTTTGTGGAAAAAAAAACAAATTTTAACATGTTTTTACAACATTATATGTATGAAATTGTCATGTAAAAAAATTAGAAAATAAATTTATAAAAAACGATTTTCTTTTTGAAAATACACACATAAAAACAAAAATGTAGAAAAAATATACTAATTATACGAAAAAGTTGGATGAGACGAACTTGGGTAGGACAGGATGGATCCTAAATTCGGGTCTTATGATATGGAGAGGGATCAAACTTCCGATCTCGATAACAAAAATATTGAAACTGTTGGGCTACATATTTTTAACAATTATAAAAATTACTTAATGTAATTAAAAAAATATTAAAGCTATTGTTAAGACGATGCAATATTGTTAATAAATATGATACTGTATTTATATTATTTAAGCATAATAATAAAACATGACTTTTTATAATAATAGGAACATATTTATATATTAATCAGTAAAAGCAATATATTTGCCCATTTTTATATTTAAGTACATCAGTATTTCGGATAGAAATATGCCAAATTCAATAAAGAAACATTATAATTTAATTTTTTAACCACCAAAGATTTTCTTATTCTGGTTTAACCATATATAATTTGTTTATTAAAAGAAACAACCAACCTATTACGTAAAAATAAAATAAATTGCCTACGTTATTTCGTATCCTTTAGTCGATTACCCTATTATCAAAGATCAAAGCAATTGCGAGACGAGTATAGAGGCATTGGATGTCACATACAACTACAATTGCCCATGACCTTGCGAAATTGAAACATAATAACAACAAAAGAAAAAGATCCCATTTCGAAAGAAATGAAATGGAAGTTTCGCCAGCAATAGTGGAGAAATTTTATTAAACTGCACAAAAAACCAAAACCTAAAACATAACATTTTACACACATTGTAAGAAGTCAACAGAAACCATGATTCTCCCATCGAGTCTTGTTTTGCTAACACTGACCCCAACTCATCTGATCCATACCACGGGACCTTTTGTATCCAATAATCCATACTAAATTATACAGAGCAACGAACCAACCAATCATCTGTGTTCATCCTCCAACTCCTCCTTAAGTTGAACACAAAGTTTTGACATTTCATACAACAATCCCGATATACATCTCGACTCCTCGGTTCTTGTTGTTGCATCCCGTAACGGGTCTCTTATAAGTTCCTCAATTCGACCACATATCATCAACGCTTTCGGATTATTTACACAGGATTCAGAAACCAAGCGAATAAATTTACAGTTATTTTGATTATCTTGTTGTTGTTCAAGTGGAGGAACGAGGAACGGATGTTGAAGAAGTTGGGGGATCCTCCATCTCTGGTTTCGATCCCATGCGAGACAATTCTTCATGAGATCGAGAAGGCATGGGTTTGATACGGGTGGGTATTGGATATTGTGGTGTGGATCTGTGACGACTTTGAATTTGGCCCAGAAAGTTTTGTAATCTGAAAAGGGTGTTCTCCCGTAGACCATTTGGTAAAGGATGCAACCGAGGGACCAGATATCTGATGGACGACCACATTTTATTATGTTTCCCTGTGCGTCCGTCTCGTTGCACATGAATGCCTCTGGAGACATGTAACTCAGCGTACCCACCTGCCCACAATTAATTCAAGAAATAGGAATTAGGAACATACTTTCATTTGCTTCTGTATTATTATAGCATCCTACTTTCGTTTCCTTTTGTTGGAATTATGTTTTTTAATAAATTTCTTCCTAAGGTATTATTTTACACGGTTATAGCATTGGATTTTTTCTTTATTAGGATATTATACTTTGAAATTTTTGTCCAATTGTTTTGCATTTGGGTGACATTGCTATAATTGAGTAGAATATTAAGTACAATGTTGTAACAGGAAAAAAAAAAAAATTTTAAAATAAACCTAGGATGCTCTCCAACTAGTTGCGGTGTTAATTATAAATTCCTAGGCATGACATACAAGTAAATGTCTTATGTAATAAAACACAACATGGTGTATTGCATCTTAACACAGATTCGTTTTTATAACACATAAGTTTCTTACTTGACTAACTATTTAAGGTATTTCTAGTTTCTATTGCTCTCCAATTAAATGCCGTGTTAATTATAAATGATTACTATCTTATTTGCTATCATATATTACAAAATTCAACAAATATCTCCTTCATATTTTCATGGACTTAAACTTCAACAAGTCTACGTATTGTATTGCTTTATGCAACCAAAATCGATATGGTAGACCCAAAGTCATCTAGGCAGAGTGTAACCTGAGAATCTCGTTGAATATTTGTTGTATCGCTCATGATGGCTTTTGCAATACCAAAATCAATTAGCTTCAGGGAGCCTCTTACAAGGAGAAAATTAGCTGGCTTCAAGTCTGAGTGCACTATACGTTCTTCATGTATCGTTTTCACAGCCAAAAGTATTTGCTGCCATTCATTACAATTTACAATATAAAAATTACATATTAGTTTTTGCAATCATGATTTTCATAGCATGTTCCTTTCACCTGCTAATTTACATGGGCTGTAACTTCAAAGGAATATAAACTAAAGGGCATATAACAAGTGCATGCTTGTCCATTGTGTTAAAATCATTTTCAAATCGGGACACTCCCCTAAGCATGCATATGGCTACATTTGTTACACAATATATATATATATATATATATATATATATATATATATATATATATATTATATGAAACTGTAGGAATGATTTTAAAGAGTTGAAAAGAACCTGCCAGTAAAAACGGAGCCAGTTCTCATCTATGGTTGAGTTGGATTTGGAGTTATCAAGCTCCTTCCACTTATGGGATAACATGTGAGCCAAATCAATTTCACCATATTCAAGCACCATGTAAATATGCCCATCCTCCTTCACTTTCCCATTCTTGTTACTCACAGACCCACTCATCACTTCCTTCATCAAAGCCTTATCTGTCACCTAACAACAGCTGCATGTTAGAAGCTGCTCAAGGATCAAATGTTCTCATCTGCTTGTCTCTTAACCAGTGTCTAAAACTCACATACTGAAATCAGCAAACTTAGAGTATATTTCATAAGTGAAGTGATTACATGTCTAGAGAACATACCTCGTAATCAATGAGTTGAATAATGTGGTCCCTTCCCTTGAGTTTGTTTAAATATTCAATCTCCTGACAAAATCCATACGCAGTGGCATAGTCACGCCCTTTAAGCTTTATCTTTTTCAAGGCATAAATTGTGCAGTCTTGAGAAATGACTTTGTGGACCTCGCTACTTCCTCCACTACCTATCTTTCCAAGCCTTTGATACAGCTTCCCATTGACCTTGAAAAACAAGTCTGGATCATAATTTCTCTTTCGACTACTTTTTTCCTTCTTTTCAGGTTTGGAAGCTTCTGTTTTCACATTAGAAAAATGGTCGTCTGATATGGGAGCTTCAGATTGTATATCAGTAATATCAGCAGCAAATGTGTTTCCCTTTGTTGATATCTCAGCAGGGAGAGGAGGGTCTTTTGTCATACCAGAATACCCTTCTTCTTTTCCTTGTTGATCCTTAGAAAACTCATGCTTCTTTTCAAGATTTGAACCCACAGAAGCAGAGGGAACTAAGGAGCCAAGATGATCAGAAGGCAAGGGTTGATTTTGTACATGAGAATATTCACCAGTCTGAATGCTATTTTGTTGAAGGTGGGAACAGTTGGTAGTTGAGTTAAGCATGGGAGCATTTTGTGAATTCACTAGTGTTGTGGTAGCACAAGATGAGCCAACAACTGATGATTGGGTCATGTTATGACCAAAGTCCCTCTGTAGGAAGTTTCTGAAAGGGTTAATCTGATTCTGATCATCATTAGTTTTGAAACAAAGATCAACATCCATGTTTTGAAAACTCTGGTGAGCAGCTGAGACATCCAACTGATTACTTCCATTGCTTTCCATTTCTGTCAATGCAAGTGAATCTATATGAGTCGATAGTTGTCTGTTCCTGTGCTCATGTGATCATCAGACCCTGCTCAAGCATTGTGAATTATACACAATAATGGGTAATAATTGCAATACTGAGCTTCATAAGATTATGCAGTAACTATGCTTTTGTGTGTTACAACACTGACACATTACAAACACCTCACTCATATTTTTTTTACCTTAAGCATCAGAATCATATAAGAAAAGCAAAAGACAAGAAAAAAAGAACTTAAACCAACAAATTGGACAAGGGCTAGCAAAAATTACCATGAAACATTGTATTCTTTTGCAATGCAAACTGAACCTTCTTTGGGCCATTGTCACGCTCCATGACTGAGGAGCAAGCTGTGTTGTTGCTTGTACAACTAGTACCAAAACTAGGTTGACTTCTCTCAGCATCTATTGATATTGGATTTCCTTCATCATTGGTTTTATCTGATACGGAAGGTGGTGTAATTGAAGCATCCTCGTGATTAAAAGGACTAGAAGATGGCATATTCTTTGTTTGTAAAATGTAATCTTGCACTTTTTTACTTAGATGGAGATGAGGAGACTCAGCTCTCATTTTGGAGTCCACTGCTGGATCTGAGCTCTTTCCTGTTTCCCCTCGAACCACTGAACGTCTTGGCTTCAGCTGTGCCATCATACCTACAGCTGTTAAGGTGAAGTTGATAAAAAATCAGTGTCCAGCAATGTTAATTACAAAGCAGTCAAGTAAACAAACCATATTGTATTATTCCTGGAAGAAATTAAGGTATAAAGTACAATTAAAGTTGCTATTATAGAATTCCTAAATTAAAAAAGACAAATAAAAGTAGCAACCATGACCTAGTGGCCTCTAAGCTGGTAGTGAAGCTCTAAAGTACCCTAGATTGGTAAATCTATGTCCCACGGATGTAACTGTAAATCTGATTGTATCATTGTAGTTATTAGTCATTGCTGAACTAGAGGCGAAGTCTAATCTAGAAAGAAGAAGCCCTAACTTTCACCAAATGAAATCGTACGATTAAAAAAAAAAAAAAAAACTGGATGGACAATCTATGTTAGAATAACACGGAATACAAATTAAAGGAACAAGTGTATCGATATTTCTAGGGATTGTGCTTACGATGACGCTTATAGGCAGCTTGTAAGTCGCGGAGGAAGTTGGAGGGAGCAGATGATGATGATGATGATGACGTTGTTACATTGAATGAGCGGTGGAAATTTGAATCTGGGTTGTCCGCCGGTAGATCAGCCTCTCTTCTATCCATCGACATACCTCAGAGGCATATCAGCATATAACTAAAAACCGCAGCTACAAACTAAGTTCAAGATGTGTGCCCTAAGAAAGATGCCGTTAATGGAGCTCTAAAACTCAGAGAGCAGAATTTGATTGCCATATACGCTTGGGAGAAAAGAGTCGAAGTTCAAATGGTGTGCCTGGCGCGATCTCTGTTATCAATTTGTTAGACCAATGTAAGGGGGGTGTTTGGATAATTTTAAAATAGCTTATTATTTTTTTAATTTTTCAAAAAGCTAAGTTAAAAAAGTGTATGTGGATTTAAAAAATATTTTTTAAAACAGTTATTTTTATAGAAAAAAAAATGTAAAGTTTTTAAAAAGCTTAGTTTTTTAGTTTTTTAAGTCATTTTACTATTAAAAAACAGTTTTTCTTATTCAAATACTTTTTAAAATCAGTTTTTTCTAAAAATCATAAGTTGATAAGCATTTTTGTAACATCTCAAAAATACAAGCCAAAAATTTCATTTGAAAACATTACTAAAACCATAATATTCAAATATCATATAACAAAACCATAAGTCGTGTATTTCAAAATGTCATAATAAATGTATCAAATCAAATTTGATGTCATGATCATGTCAAAATATCAGAGTCTAACTCCCATGCTAAAACTGTGGTGTGTGTGTGCCATGCCATCAACCTGAGCATTTCCCCTTGCTAGCTGAAGTACCTGAAACAAAACTGAAAACTGTAAGCATGAAGCTTAGCGACCCCCCCCCCCCCAAACCCCAAACTACCACATACCATGCAATAACAAATAAAGCACGTATTGGGCCTTGCCCACTGCATCGGACCGAAGTCCGGAACTAACTAGGGCATTGCCCACTGCATCAGACCTAAGTCTGGAACTAACTAGGTTATCACCATCTGCATCGGACCGAAGTCCGGAACTAACTAGGGCCTTGCCCACTGCATCAGACCGAAGTCTGGAACTAACTAGGTTATCACCATCTGCATCGGACCGAAGTCCGGAACTAACTAGGGCCTTGCCCACTGCATCGAACCGAAGTCCGGAACTAACTAAACATAGCATAACATAATCATAACATATAACATAAACACATATATTGCATACTGCATTGGACCACAGTTCGGAACTCATAACACATAAACATGCCTGAACCACAAAGACATCAAGTATATTGAACTACTGCTATCTAAACAGGCCGACATTGTGGCTGTAGACCCGTTCCTACTGGAAGGAAACTCACCTCGTAAAGCTGCCTGCTGAAATGCTGATCGGGAACTATCTGTCTGCTACTCCGGTAACTCCCCGGCTACAATTCCCATAAAGACACTTAATCAAACACTGATAACAAATCCTAGGGTAAAGTGACCATTTTATCCCTGGTCAAAGTCAACTTCCATTTGTCCCGACTCGCTGAGTTGGGCCGCCAACTCGCCGAGTCCTTATCCTTTCCTCTGCCCCCTTACCCGGCTCTACTCGTTGAGCTTAGCAAAGACTCGACGAGTTCTCCTTCTATGATTCCTCGAGTCAATCTTCATCCGACTCGCCGAGTTGTATGAACAACTCGTCGAGTTCATCTTCATCATATGAACACGTCTAGACTATGACTCGCCGAGTTGTATGAACAACTCGTCAAGTCTGTTCTTGTGGGTAAGGAGATTGTCTTGGACTTGCCGAGTGTGTTCTAACACTCGTCGAGTCCCATGGTTTCCAGATTGAGGCGATATCTCAATATGTCGAATCACTCCTTTGGAATCGTCAAAAAGCTTGCTATCACTCAGTTGGGTCCCTTTAAACCACAACAGATTGCGGACTGAAGCCCCGGACTCGTCGAGTTCCAAGAACAACTCGTTGAGTCGCCTATTGTCCAAGTCTATAACTCGATTTCTGGCATACAATTCTCATCCAAAAGGTAGATATGGGCTTCCAAGGTCGATCTAGCACGTAATGTTATGAACTTTACATGCATGCATAAAAGTATAAGCTTTAAGGACCCAAAATAAGGTCTAAAGGGGTGCATGGGCTAATATGGCCATAAAGCTTGCATTTTTATGCCATGAACTTGGTTCTAGAGTCTAGATCTGAAGGTGAATCGACTTGTTAAATAATTTTTTGTAACACTGTAAATTTTCAAACAAAATTTTCATTTTCAAAACGACATAATTCTCAATATCATATTTCCAAAACCACAATTGCCAAATTGTCAAAAACACAAATTCATAAACTGTTTTATAAAATCCAGGATCCTCAAAAACATAAACTACATCTCGTGTGTACAATCAAGTTGGCGCCTTCCTGTGATCTTGAGAAGTACTTGAAACACATAACACGGTAAGCACAAAGCTTAGTGAGTTCCACAAAATACCGCACACATATCATTAGCCTCTCATGGCTATGTCTTGATAAAGACCCTTCGGTCAATGTGGCTCAGTGGAGACCCTCCGGTCCCGCAACTCGGGTTGGACCCTCCGGTCCTAACTCAATAAGGTTCAAAATAATATACAACATAAATCACAAAGACATAATGCATGATATCACATAACTCAGTATGAGCATACAATACCGAGCGATCACACAATGTTACCACTCAGGTAAGTATAGTAAGATAACTCACCTCGTAAGTAAGCAAGAAATCCTCGTAACCCCCGAACGGTCTAATCCGGGCCTACACATCATAATCATCTCTAATTAACACTTATCACCTCAACCTAAAATAAGTTAACCTAACCTCTTTCTCTAACCCTTGGAAAGGGTAAAAGACCATTTTACCCCTCCATGGTCTCCAATCCATGTCTTGACCAAACCCTAAAAGTCATCAGAAGTCAGCACTCGGGTCAACAGTCCCTATTGACCCAACTCGTTGAGTGCATCTATGTGACTTGTCGAGTTCCCTCATTTCCTTAGAAATGTCGTGAAAATCCAACTTAACTCATCGAATTATCTCATAAACTCGTAGAGTTACACATGTCCATACTCATTGGGGAAAAACCTAACTGACTCGTCGAGTCAGCTCATCGACTCGTCAAGTCCCTTCAAACCATTTCCTCATTCAGATGTTCTTAGGTAGAAATGATGTCTCATACTCTGGATCTAGCCTTCTAAGGCTCACTTATCACATAAAGTTGCAAGCTTTACGTTCATGCATGGCATCTAGGGCTCAAAATGCCAAAACAAGCTCCAATAAGGGTTACATGCACTGAGACTTGCCCAAAGCTTGATAAAGCTTGGATCTTCGGGCTCATGGGACCTCCTTTTGTCCAGATCTAGAGTCTCAACTCCATGACAAGCTCCAGCAACTCAGGAACCGCAAGATAATAGGAAAAAGCCCTAAAATCTCTAGAAAAAGATCTACAAAAAAAGCTCAAGGTGGTAGCTTTTTACATCCAAACTGAAGCTAGCACAGAGAAACACTTGATCCAAATGCCTCTTCTCATTCCAAAGCTTGATGCTCTTCACTCTTCTTCCAAATGTGCATTAAAACCCCCCAAAAATATCTCCTCTCTCTCACTCACAAATGGGTACACACAATTAGGGTTTCTCACAAAGGGTTAGAATGATAAGGGAGGCGGAAATGAGGGATTAAGGTACTTTAAATAGGACACAAACCCTGAAAATTAGGGTTTTCTCACCCAACTCCTACTCGTCGAGTTGGGTGTCACACCCCCAAACCGGAACGGCGGAAACGTTCGGGGGAAGAGGACGTCATGTTCCGTATCATAACCATAGTGAAGAAAGTAAACACAATCATCATGAATATAATTTAAAAGGTTACAACGTTGCAAAATACATGTTTCCAAATAAATTACATATGATGTCAAAATAGTTCAAAAAAAATCTACGCCTTAGCGTCTTGTCTTCAAAAAGTCTTGTGGTTATCTGTATTACTGATTACCTGAGAATGCAAGTTGTTTTTGAAAGAGTATCAACATTAAAGCTGGTGAGTTCATAAACAATTTATGAATGAAAAAATGAATGTTGTTGTAACGCCCGCAGATCTGGGCTAGTCAATTTAGAGGCAATAGGGGTCAAAAATGACTTTTCGACAAAAGATTATTTATAATGAATAGTCTTAACCAAGTTTTAGAATATGTGACAAGGTTTCCGTACATATAAATAACGCCGAAATCCGAGTTATAACGAAGAAGTTATGGCCCGCCGAAGTTTTACGGCAAAACCGGCACGGCACCGGAAGACGTAAATAGTGAATTTACGATAGAAGACTTTTTAGCCTTAGCAATCTAAACAAAAGTCGTAGAATATGTTAAACTAAGAGCGTCGATAAAAAGAACGCCTAAATCTGACTTCGTATGAGGAAGTTATGATTTTTCTAAGATTCGGCTTAGCAGTGTACAACCCGAAACTCGAATTTTAGTTCGAGCGGTTTTTGGCTTACGTGAAATAAATGAGAGTTTAAGATCTCATTAATAGGAACTCAACGGTAAAAAGACAGACGAAAACGAGTCCGTATGAAGGAGTTACGAATTCTTCGCGGTCATTTAACAGTCTAAACGCCTCGTACTGTTAAATTTAAGATCGGTCGAGAATTAGCCGATGGAGTCAAAATGAAAGTTGTAGATATTATTTTTACCTACGCGTGGATATAAAGAACGTCAAAAACGGAGGTCGTATGTGAAAGTTACGGATTTTAGAAGTCGGAAGTGTGTTGTGCGAAAATGGGTGATGTGGCACAATCTTGGCCATTGCTTTCTCCCCAAGTCTTGCCACTAGATGGTGACATGTGGCACCAAGTTCAGCCATTTTCACCCTATAAATACCACCTCTCCCACCCTCATTTTCTTCACACTTTCCCATTTTTCTTCTCTTTACTCTCTCTCTAGAACCTCTCTCTAGCCCCGAAATCCCCGAAAAGCCTAGGGAACCTCCCTAGCACGAGGCGGAAGCCCCGGAGTGCTGACGGCTCCGAGAAGAAGAGATTTTCGGCTCGGAAAACGCTGCTCCAAGCAAAGCCTGGTTTTCTATAAAACCCACTGTAAGTGAGCTACGCCTACGCTATTTAATTATATTAACGTTATTAAGAACATATAATAAATACTTGGGCTATTATTATGGGTTATATAAGTATTTTTTTAACGCTTATATAATAGTAATAATAGCTAGACTATTAATTAGTCTCGGCGAATAATAGACTAAAATCTATTGGTGATAATACTAGGTTTCGTCGAAG